TTTGGCCTGACATAATATCCCACTTTGTTCTGGTCTCCATGTGGATTACATTTTTCATTCATTTTCAGTCTCTGCATATCCTTGCAGATGAAATGAGTCTCACAACGGCAGCATCCTCTGTTCTTGTTTTTGTAATCCCTTCAGCCACTCTCTGTTTTTGTTTTGTTTTGTTTTTAAAGATTTATTAATTATGTATGTAGTGTTCTGCCTGCATGTATGCCTGCATGCCAGAAGAGGGCACCAGATCTCATTACAGGTGGTTGTGAGCCACCATGTGGTTGCTGGAAATTGAACTCAGGACCTCTGGAAGAACAGCCAGTGCTCTTAACCTCTGAGCCATCTCTCCAGCCCCACTCTCTGTCTTTTAATTAGATAATGTAATCCATCTGCATCCAGAGTAATTACTGATCATTAAGAACCAGCCGTATTGCTGGTTGTTTTCTGGCAGGCCTTTTCTTCCTTTCTTTCTCTCCTACTGTCTTCCTTGCTGAGAGGTATTTCTCAGTCAGTATGTTTGTTTACATGCTGTAGACCTTAGCTTTTTCATCTATAATTACCACAAGCTTATAAACAACACCCTATATTTAAAACAAGTTACATTGAACTGAAGCGTGAATACAAAGGAAAAAAAAAAACTTCTCTTAGCTCCTTTTCTCTCCTTGCTTTGAGTTTTGATGTCAAAATTCAAGTCTTTTTTGTATTTCCTGTCCTTTAACAATTGATTATAATTGTTCCTTTGTTAGTGCTATTTTAACATCTTCCTGCTGAGTGCATAGGAGCTGTGTGACTATCATGTCTGAATATTTCGATTTTCTCTGATCATTTCAGGTTTTAAAACTTCAGATGTTTCCTGCCCCAACAAAGATTTATTTATTTCTGTGTGTATGGGTGTTTTGTCTGCATGTATGTCTGTACACCATGTGCATGCCTGGTGCCTGCAGAGGTCAGAAGAGGACATCAGATCCCCAGGAACTGGTGTTAAGGACAGTTGTGAGCTGCCATGCGGGTGCTGGGAACTGAACCCAGGTCCTCTGGGAGAGCAGCCAGTGCTCTTGACCACTGAGCTGTTGTTACTGTTACTCCAGCCCAGCCCACCTTCAGATGGTTTCACGTTCCGCATGAGCATCTTCGCCCTCTCCTTTTGAACATGCTTTAGCATCCCTGTAGACAGGTCTAGTCACAGTGATTGCTTCAGCTTTTATTAGGGAAGGGCGTCCATGTCCCATCTCCACAGAACTGCTTTGCCTGGCAGCTTTTCCCTTCAGCCTCTGAAGTCTGCTGCTGGGGACATGGCTGTCCCCTCACCTCCCCTGTGCTGCTCTTGGAATGTTCTGTGACCTTTGAGAGTTTGGCTCTGGTTGGGTCTGAGCAAACTTTGACCTTCCCATGGGAAGGACATTTCTTCCTGGGTTCTGGGGCTTTCTGTTACTTCTTTGCGCAAACTCTGTGCCCTTCCTCATTCTCTGGTTCTCTTGGTGCCAGTGGCCTCGACTCCCCTTTGGATGGTGTCTCAGAAGACGCTGGAGTTTTCTCCCTTCTCACTCACTCTTTTTCTTTGTCTTGAACAGCCTGTCTCAGACTCGCTCACTCTTTCCTGACTGATCAGCTCTGCTGTGGACGTCTTAGATTTCACTTCTCATTTTCTGCATCTGCCTTGTAGGTTTGAATTCTCTGGTTTTCCTCCAGTGGTTAAGCTCTTAGTCTCCAACTGTCCCACGCATGGCTTGAGTTCTGTCGTGGGCACCTTGTTTAGACCTTATTAAGGCCCTCCCTCCTTGGCTTTCTCAGTCCCTACATACATCTCTGGACTCATGAAATAGGTGTTCGTTATCATATTCCTTGCCATCTGTGTTTGCCTGTGAGTTCTGTTTCTTTGTTTTGGTGTTTGGGGATGGGTTTTGGTTGGTTATTTTTGGTTTGTTTGTTTATTGAAATTCTCAGTAGATCAGCTTCTTACATTCTACTTGAGCATTTCGAGGTTACCCTGTGCACAGGTTAGCTGTCAGTTTTGTGATGGCTCTATGGCTGGTACAGTGTCCACCTGGTGGCCATGGACAATGTATAAGGGGGCACCCAGGACATGTGGGCGAGCCAGTTCCACACTCCAAAGACCATGTGGACTGTGCCTCCAGCAGGACGGGGCGTGTACATAGTCTGTCTGGAAGGTGTGGCAGGGATGGAGGACCACGGCAAGATCTGGTATTAATTCCTGTTTGCCCATTTCTTCTTGTTCTCTGCTGGCTTGGGGTAGAATAGCCCCGGTCGTCTCCCTCGTGGGCCAGTGTAGGAGTGAAACACCACAGGAGATCAGGGTGATGGGAAGACAGATGTCCCCCTCGGACCTTCCAGCACAGTCACCGTTCTGTGCAGGATGCCCGAGTGGCTTGGGGAAGGAGGACCACAGTAACAGAGGACCTTCCAGTTGCTCTGTGTGTGTGTGTGTGTGTGTGTGTGTGTGTGTGTTCGTTCCAGAGTCTTCACCATCTTGCTTTTGTATTTGGGTTTTCTGAGCTCTATGAGATGTTTTCTAGTGCATGGTTATTCAAACTCAAGGGATAATTGATGGCAATACAGATTCTGTCACCTTCCATCGTTCATTTTGGATTTATTTATTTATTCATTTATTTATATTTAATTTTGGAACAGACTCACTGGCTAGCCTGGAACTCATTGTATAAACCAGATTGGTCTTGAATTCACTGATGCCTGCTAAGTGCTGGGATTAAAGGTGTGCACCATCATGCCTGGCCCAGGAATTCTCTTTTTTAAGGAAAAGCATTTTAATGCAGGAAATACAGTAAGTCTAACTACTCAGAAAATAGCCTACCCATACAGTCTCTGCGGCTGATATACTACAAACAGTAGATTTTATAGTGTTTAAGTTGAAAAATAGAAAGTCAATATTAAGAAATCTATGAATGCTGTGGTTCTGACCCCATCCCCTCCTCAAAAGGTTGTGTTAGCATGTTTGAGTTTAAGGATTCTTAACCAGGTTCACTTTGCCTAACTTTGAGATCATCTCTGTGAACTACAGTGACTCTCACCACTAGGGGGAGGTTGTTGACAATAGGAAGATTTGTATAGCTTTTAAAAGACGTCTTTCTTTGTGCTTTTTCTCTTCCGGGATCCAGTAGGCTCCCCTGGTTAAGAACTACCCAGTATGAATTCCTGAGGTCTGTCAGCCCAGCACAGACATGGGTGGGGTCTGGGTGATTCGGAAGAGCAGTGCAGAAGAGAGGGGGCGGGGCACGCTGATCTGAAGGCAGAAGTGTGGAGCAGGGCCCTGTCTTTGCGGAAGCACCTCAGACCTCTGACGTTTGGGGGTTGAAAATGAAAGGCACGTTGGGGTGGCAGTGGGAGAAAGACATTAGAGTAATTGGGGGGCTGTGTGGGACCCCACAGGGGATCGGTAGGCCCTGAGCATAGAGGCTCTGTAGCAGCTGCTGTGAGCAGGGTGTGGTTGGGACTGGGGAGATAGCCGTCATACAAGTGGCCAGATTCTGAGTACATTTTAGACATAGTAGTAGGTGTGCATTACCAGTGTTCAGAGTCCCAGCTGTCTCTCATTCCCTCCCTGCAAGGCGGTACTGAGTGAAACAGTCTTAAAGATGCTGAAGTGCAGAGAGGGGGCTGCACAAGGTCTCCTGGCTGCACTGTGGGACTCGAACTAGAACTCCTGGACTCTGACACTGCTGCTTCACCTGCAGAGATCACAGTGGACCTCCCCGCCCTCCAGCACTGATCTGATCATTCCGAGAGCTGTATGGACACGGAATTTACAAGGAGAAAGTGATAGACGCTCTTCACGGTAGAGTTGATGGTGCTCAGTGAGGATAGAGCCTGATGTCCTTTGCTGGACAGACAGACAGACAGCGAAGGGTGTCTCTCAGAAGATGGGGGAGAGACAGCACAAGGAAGTAGAAGTGAGGCTGACTAGGAGACTGAGGGGCAGCAGGAGAGAGAGAACGGAGGCACACTGCATGTGTGGGGCGGCCACATGCAATAAATATCTGCTTATATGAAAATGTGAAAGTATTGGGAAAAGGTACAGTAATTAAATGTATATATATTTTATCAAAGAGAAAAATGTATATTAAGAGAACCAAAAAAGGAACAAATTTATATATAACTCCCTTGGTTTCCTCAGGTTGTGTCTTTGTTTTTATTCACTAAGCATATATTTTAATAATTTTTTTCTTCTCAGAGAAAATTGAAGTACCTGTACTCATAAAGAGATGTGAGGTGCTGCCATTGGATATAACTACCCCAGAAGAAACACCTGCTGCCAGTGCCCCTAGGGAAGAAGTTTCTAGACTGCCACTTCAGAGAGAGGAGAAAGTCCTGCCTTAATAGCTTCGATGATAACACTGTGCAGTGGGGCCAGCCAGCCTCTCCAGCCATTCAGCCAGCCAGCCTCTCTCCCCAAGAGCCCACCTCTGGACATGCAGCCAATGAAGGAGAAGAAATGTGTGAAGCTTGTGGATGGTCCAGCCAATGCTGAGGCCTTACGTGAACAAAATGGGAACACCCCCAGCTCTCCCAGGTCAGTGTGTCCTTCTGTCTGGCCGTCAGCAGCCTTCTCCATCTTTCCTCTTGCTACTGCCTGAGCTGTGCCACGCTGCTCTGTGTTCCTGACCGTGCCACGCTGCTCTGTGTTCCTGACTGTGCCACGCTGCTCTGTGTTCCTGACTGTGCCACGCTGCTCTGTGTTCCTGACTGGTCCACGCTGCTCTGTGTTCCTGACTGGTCCACGCTGCTCTGTGTTCCTGACTGTGCCATGCTGCTCTGTGTTCCTGACTGTTCCACGCTGCTCTGTGTTCCTGACTGTGCCATGCTTCTGTGTTCCTGACTGTTCCACGCTGCTCTGTGTTCCTGACTGCCATGCTGCTCTGTGTCCCTGACTGGTCCACGCTGCTCTGTGTTCCTGACTGTGCCACGCTGCTCTGTGTTCCTGACTGTGCCATGCTGCTCTGTGTTCCTGACTGTTCCACGCTGCTCTG